AGTTAGTACAACTTCCTGTTTCATGGCGAATCTTCGACGCCACGGACACGCCCATCGACGAAAACGCGCAGATAGCACAACTTTACATCGTCAATGCCTTTAGAAGGCACAGCAGAAATTTTAAGTCGATCCGACTAAATCCCTAGGAGGAGTTCGTTAAAGTACGGAGTGTGTAAATCGTCCAAAAATGGCCGCCAAATTCAAAATGGCGGACCTCCTGTCGAGTTTATGGTATGGGTTCTTGAGGCTTTTTTGTGCGTCTTGATATGATACACGTCCCCACCAAATTTCGTGCATGTAGGTTGAACGTGGACGAGGGGCTAATTTTTTCCAATTTTCTAGGTGGCGCTAGCGTGCCATTTTGCCCCGCCCATCTGCGAAACCCACAAAATACGAAATTTTTCACCAGTCCTGACATGCGTGCCAAATTTGGTGAGTTTTTGAGCATGTTGCGGCCCCGAAAATGGCACTTACTTTGCAGAAAAAAGAAAAAAAAAAAAAATTAAAGCTGCAAGCAGCGATGGGCGGGCCCTCGCACCTGTAGCACGTCGGGGTGTGAGGCGGCCGCGTTTCATTTTCTGCAGCTCAGCCAGTGCGGCTGTGCATTTGCCACACTGCTTCGTTAAAGGCCACTTCCTGTTGCCAGCAGGTGGCGCTATGACTGTGGGTGAATGTCGGCATGTAGATTTGATCAGGGCGGGACTCTTGTCAAATGTGTTAAATTTCGTGCAGATCTGGGCATTTACAGCCAAGTTACTACAACTTCCGGTTTCATGGCGAATCATCGACGCCACGGACACGCCCATCGACAAAAACGCGTAGATAGCACAACTTTTCATCGTCAATGCCTTTAGAAGGCACAGCAGAAATTTGAAGGCGATCCGACTAAAGCCCTAGGAGGAGTTAGTTAAAGTACGTAATGAGTAAATCATCCAAAAATGGCGGTAAAATTAGAAATGGCTGACTTCCTGTTGAGTTTAGGGCATCGCTCCAAGAGACTTTTCTGTGCGTCTGGACATGGTAGATGTACCACAGAAATTTCGTACATGTCGGTCAAACATGCGACGGGGGCTGCTTCGTTAAATGTCACTTCCTCTTGCCACTAGGTGGCGCTATGAATGTGGGTGAATGTCGGCATGTAGATTTGTTCAGGATGGGACTCTTGTCCAATGTGTAAAATTTCGTGTAGATCTGGGCATTTACAGCCAAGTTACTACAACTTCCTGTTTCATGGTGAATCATCGACGCCACGGACACGCCCATCGACGAAAACGCGCAGATAGCACAACTTTACATCGTCAATGCCTTTAGAAGGTACAGCAGAAATTTGAAGTTGATCCGACTAAATCCCTAGGAGGAGTTCGTTAAAGTACGGAGTGTGTAAATCGTCCCAAATCGGTCGCCGAATTCAAAATGGCGGACTTCCTGTCGAGTTTAGGGTATGGGTTCTTGAGGCTTTTTTGTGCGTCTGGTCATGGTAGATGTACCACAGAAATTTCGTACATGTCGGTCAAACAAGCGGCGGGGGCTGCTTAGTTAAAGGTCACTTCCTGTTGCCAGCAGGTGGCGCTATGACTGTGGGTGAATGTCGGCATGTAGATTTGTTCACGGCGGGACTCTTGTCAAATGTGTAAAATTTCGTGCAGATCTGGGCATTTACAGCCAAGTTAGTACAACTTCCTGTTTCATGGCGAATCTTCGACGCCACGGACACGCCCATCGACGAAAACGCGCAGATAGCACAACTTTACATCGTCAATGCCTTTAGAAGGCACAGCAGAAATTTTAAGTCGATCCGACTAAATCCCTAGGAGGAGTTCGTTAAAGTACGGAGTCTGTAAATCGTCCAAAAATGGCCGCCAAATTCAAAATGGCGGACCTCCTGTCGAGTTTAGGGTATGGGTTCTTGAGGCTTTTTTGTGCATCTTGATATGATACACGTCTCCACCAAATTTCGTGCATGTAGGTTGAACGTGGAAGAGGGGCTAATTTTTTCCAATTTTCTAGGTGGCGCTAGCGTGCCATTTTGCCCCGCCCATCTGCGAAACCCACAAAATACGAAATTTTTCACCAGTCCTGACATGCGTGCCAAATTTGGTGAGTTTTTGAGCATGTTGCGGCCCCGAAAATGGCACTTACTTTGCAGAAAAAAGAAAAAAAAAAAAAAAAAAAAAAATAACCCTAACAGTTTCAATAGGGTCCTCGCACTGTTAGTGCTCGGGCCCTAATAACCCTAACAGTTTCAATAGGGTCCTCGCACTGTTAGTGCTCGGGCCCTAATAACCCTAACAGTTTCAATAGGGTCCTCGCACTGTTAGTGCTCGGGCCCTAATAAAACAGGAACATGCATGAGAAAGCGCATGAGGTCAGTTTTGATTTCATGTTGACTTCAAGCTAAACTCAATTTGAAGGGTAAATGTAGTGGCAATTAAATTGAGATAAATGGCTGCACTTCTAAGAGCGCGCTCAGACGTGAGTATAAGGGAGTGAATTTGTTTATTACAGGTTGAGAGCGCAAGAAAACGCGTATGGATCCGCACCACTGTGTTGAAAGACACTTTAAAGTATTTGAAAGAGTGTACTAACAGATTAGAGCACTCCTTGATCTAATGAAAATCCATATTGCAAAACATTTAGCCATGAGAGAGGCATACATAATCTAATAAGACACATAACACAATTTCTGAATTACGGGTAGAGCAAATAATGGAGATGAACTATATGGGCTTTATTTGATAAAGTCAAAATAAATGAGAAATGGGAAATATTTTCGTATTTATTATTATTATATCTCATATTATTAAAAAAACACACACACATTGGCATTAACACCGACTTAACCTTATTCATGTTTAACACCATGCACTGTAATAAATTATATAGCCGCAGTCGTACTTTACATACCGCTGCACAAACTAATGGTCACTCTGATGTGCACGTCAATGTTAAACCAATCAGTCGTTCCTGAAGGCACAGGAAATAGACTTTATTAGCACTCACCTCCTCTCCTAAGACAACTTTTAGCTCTCATCTACACAATTAGGCTAAGTGGCCTGTCACTGACCATTTCGATTCATATTCATTGTCCACACAGCGTCAGAATTGCCATGAAAACCCTGCAGCACGGATGGATCTGGTCATACACGCATGCAACCTCAGATTAAGAGTCGATCAAGCCATTCCTAAAAGACATCACCAAAACTTAACATGCATTAAATGGATAGTTCGCTTTGAAATAAATTTTTTGGTAGGCCTATGTTAACCGTTCTTGTCTGTCAGTCATATAATGGAGGTCTATGGTCACCACCTCAAAGAGCATGCACAGAGAAGTCCAGATTAAACATGATTTAATGACTCCTAAATGTAATGGCCTAAGACACGAAACGAGCGGTTTGTGTGAGAAAACGAACACTATTTATATCGGTTTTATCGTTTATATCGTTTTCCATTAGACGGGCTCTGACTGAACTCAAAGATCGCTTTCGCCATTAGGGGAGCGCGGGGAACAACCTAACGCGGGGTTAAATGTAACACGGACCGTTTACATAGTTCGTCAGGATCAAGGAGGTTGTCTTCCCGCTATTTTTCTCTTCCTGCCAGAAGACGGTCTCCCGCGAATTTGCGGAAATTTTTGATTATATTTCGTAATTTTTTTCATCATAGGTTTTTTTTCTGTTTCTGAGTTGGGTGTATACGTTTCCAAATCTAACTTTATATTGCCTTAATCGCTGTCTTGTTGGCTCAAACATAGCACCGTTTTGAAACATGTCAGCAATTCCTAGCGACTGTTAGCTAGGTTTAAAATATGTAATGCACAGCGGGGTTAATTCTAACACAATGATAATCAAATGAAAACGGAGCCACACAACTTTTCAGGTTTGAGTAAACATTTAACTTTGTTAGACTTTGACAAACAATGTTGGAATTTAAAATGTTTAAAATTTAGTGTACTATAAATGAGAACTTGTTTATTTATTAAAAATATGGCCTGTTTTTAATGCAATAAACCCTTTGAATTTTTATTTTAAGTTCATTTGTATTGTTATTACTGTTATTATTATTATTATTATTATTAATTGTACATGCGGCTTCCACACACAAAGCTAATTTAATTACAATTACAATATTTATAATTTTATTTATTATTATTTATTGCAAAACTATGCAGCCCTTTTCTGTCTCTATCCATGATATTGATCCATAATAGAAGGATTATTGGATGAGGGATGGATTTATGGATATCTTTCTATACAGATGGACAAACAATATCAAACTATACAATTAAAATAGTACTGAATTAAGTGTGTTACACACAAGTGTTACAACTAACCCCTCTGTCTGTTACAATTAACCCCGCATATGGGGTAAGTTAACACAGTCTCATCCCAAAAAGTCATATAACTGACGTTTTGGGACGTATTTTGACCATACGTCAATATCAGCCTTTTTAGGGCCCCCTTAAACGTCGGTAGATGGCGATCCCGGGCCGTCATACAACTGACGCTTTACCTTTAACGTCAGTTAGGGTTAGGTTTAGGTATGGGGTAGAGTTAGGATCCCATAACCTCATCTACCGACGTTTAAGGGGGCCCTAAAAAGGCGAATATTGACGTATGGTCAAAAGACGTCCCAAAACGTCAGTTATATGACGTCTTGGGGTGAGACCGGGTTGGGTAAGTTGTAACATTTGCACTTCTGTCACTTTCAGTGCAACTGTACGAAAATGGTATCCTAGAAAAAAACTTTAAGTGTTAATTTGTAGCAGAGATGTGTATGTTGCTTGTGTAAAAATATGAATCTAACCTAATTATTTTTTAATTAATTGAGCCAAAACCAAAATGTGTTAGGTTGTGCCCCGCTCTCCCCTACCTTTCCCACCATGTGATTTGATCTCGACCCTTGAGCGCCATCAAGTGGTGTGTGTTTAGATCAATATGGAACTGAAGTGCACTGTTTAGCTCGCCCTCTAGGCGGCGGTATCTTAAAAACAAACGGAAACTCACAGCTGACGCTCCTCACTGACGCTCCTCGGTTGTTTACAGTTTTACGCTTTTAGCTTCAGCCATAGAGCTCTCTCAATAAAACAGTTTAAATCGTATTTTCGACATGGGATGCGACGGCGGAACCATTCCCAAAAGACACGAACTAGTTAAAGGACCGAAAAAGGTTGAAAAGGTAAGAAAATAGCTTTAAACGATCGATTATTTGTCAACAAACCTCATGATATTAGCATGTAGCTTTGTAGCACGACTCGCCGATAACTCGTGAGTTGACTTCAAACTTTTATATTTTCTGAAGCTTCTGTAGAATTTATACGTACATACATACATACATAACGTTAAATACATAACTTACGTACAAACATATATGCTAGTATTTTGAAGTACACAATGATACTAACGTTACCGTATCTTTTTTTTGTAAGTGATGTTTATATTATGATACATGAATGTCAGTGTCATGACATAGGCATTTAGTTGGTTTCTTACACCGTGGTTTATGAGTGAGTAAGTTTCCGTCATACATATTAAAATACTTAACGTTAACTATGATGTTATTTATTTGGATTTAAAAACCTTTACAAAAGTTACAGATGCTGAACATGCAAATAAGTGCAATGTCAGAGGTTCTCAAATAATTGTAACCTTTTACACAAAAACAGATTCACACAAATACAATATTACTGTTTAATATTTTAATATTGAAGTATAATATGATCAGTAACATTTAACTGTTATATGTCAACATAAGTTAATGCATTTGACTAACAATGAGCAATATAATTATTACAGCATGTATACACATTTGTGAATGTTTCTTAATATGTATGTATGTTCGTGTTAGTTTTAATACAACTATTGATCTTAAAAATGTATCTGTACGTGTTGAGATTAACATGAAGTAAGATTAATAAGGGCTGTATAAATATTTATTGTTAGTTCATTTGAAGTGTAACCAAATTTTGTAACTTAGTTTGGAATTGAATACTGTAAACGTGATTTTTTTTTTTTTTTTTTAGCTCACAAACTTCACAACGTTTATTTATAGAGTCTGTAATAAGACTTTTTGTGAGTGCCGTAAATATTATATTGTTAGTGTTATTTTATTTAGGGCCCCGCATAAATCAGACGTCTTTAATTTCTATTAGTGTCATGGCTAACGAATCAAAGCTTGTGTTTTACAGGTCGATAAGAATGCAGAACTCGCAGCCAAATGGAAATACTGTGCATTGAGTCAGGAAAAGCTGAAGCGACCGATAGTCGCCTGTGAGCTGGGCAGGTACCGATTCATTTATTTCCATGTTTTACTTTTGTTTTTCTAGTTTAAGGTTTTTGACATCATGTGGCCTCGTAAAAATTCACTGTGCCAGTTCGATATCCAAGCAGGATCAATGCATAACAGAATTATCATCCGATCGGCAATACCGCAAAATAAAACCCTTCAGGCTGATACAAGACCTCTGCTTAATGTCATGATTACCTTGTAGGGATTTATTTTGACCACTAATGACATTCTACCTTACATAACCTCTGTTATAAAAGATTTGCCATCATTCTTGCATATAAACCCACCAGTGGTATCTGAAATAAGATCTGAATAACCACAGTTCAAGCCATGGATGGATCATCACGAAAAAGCCCCACAGTTTTCAATAGGATTTGAATTTTTATTTTGAATAAGCATCTTTCAGCAACCAATAAGAATGCATAACTCTCAGCTTTGGTTGGCATAATTTACCATATATTTCATTTAATACGACACAGACACCTAAATCAGTGTGAAATATTACTTTTCAGTATTCAGTATGCACTTTTAATATTTCTGCCTGTTACTATACTGTTAATATATAGAGCAAGTCATTTTTCTCCCTCCAGACTGTATAATAAAGATGCGATCATTGAGTACTTGCTGGATAAATCAGCGGAGAGGCCGAACACTGAGGTTGTGACGCACATACGTGGCATCAAGGTTGGTACACACTGACAAATGATCATCCTGCTGTCTGTGAATAAGCTTTTCATTGGACAATACGCCTCCACACGTGTGTTTCAGTGTTGTTATTAGGGGTGGGGAAAAAAATCGATTCTCGATGCATCGCGATGCGGACGTGGACGATCCTGAATCGATTCACAAATGTCAAAAAATCTATTTCAAAATTATTATTTTTTTGATATGTATTTATAATAACGTAACATTGACGGAACGCGAAAGACGGAATTCTGAAGCGCGGAAGTGCAGTGGCGGGACCGTCTGTGGCGTGCACATAACAGAGATGAGATGGCACGCGAGATCCAAACACTTTCCTTGTTAGGTTAAAAGCTGACGTGTGGAAATATTTTGGCTTCTGAAGTTGAAGGGGGAAAGGAGCTGGACAAGAGCCGCACTAGTTGTACGCTTTGTGGAATAAAACCAACGACGGAAACACGACAAATATGATAAGCCATATGACACCTTTCCAGCCAGAGGAGAAAAAACACTCGGCTGCACCAGTCGTTATATTATTTATTTACTACAAGTATATGCTCCTAGTTCAAGCACACATTTATTTTCCTGGTCGTTCTTTGTAATGTTAATAAAATATATTGTGCATTAATTTGTACTTTTAAAGCAAATTATTTATAGTCACACACAAAAGATTCAGATAATCGATTTGTAACATTATAAATGTCTTGTACTTTAACTTTTGATCAACTTAATTTATCCTTGATGAATAAAAGTATAGATTTCTTTTTTCTTTTGCCCCAAAAATTAAATAAAAATTCTTACCGACTCCAAACAGTTGAACGGTATTGTTTAATGTTACAAAAGCTTTCTATTTCAGATAAATGCTGTTCTTTTGAATTTCTAGGTGATTCTCTGAATCGAGTGCCCTTCAAGTCCCCCAAACTTGCTTCAAATATTTTCAATTGAAGGAAATCACAAAATACATTTTAATGCTGTCAATTAATAGAACCAGGTCCATTTGCATTATAATGCAACACAATTGCTTTTGAAAAAAAAATTTAAGTTAATAAATGTAAAGATAATGAGTTGCCTAAGTAGTAGACAACAAGCATGTTTGCATGTCCTCACTAACCATCATTATATTTTCAATGAATATCAAACAAATAAAAAGTGCAATTAATACCAAAATGTTGCTGCTGCTAATATAATCATATGTTGATCTAGTGTATTTTCGTTTACTGTTGTGAAATGGAAAATCAATAATCGGTAATCGAGAATCGTTAATAATCGAAAATCGACTGTAATCGAATCGGGACTTCAATAATCGTAATCGAATCGAATCGGGAAATCAGACACCCCTAGTTGTTATAGTATCATTGATAATAAGGTTTAAAAAAAAACACTTTACAATAAGCCGAATAAGTTGTCTTTTGTAACTAACATGAACTAATAAAGTGTCAAAAATGTTATAGCTTTTATTAACCTTTGTTGATGTTAGTTAATAAAATAATTCATATGTTAATTCACTCTGCATTAGCGTATGTTAACCGAATGTTTGATCTTTATAAACTTACTTCAATATTGAGATTAACATTAGCTAAGATGTATAAATGTTGTAGAAGTATTTTTTTTTTCATTGTTAGTTCACATTAACTAATTTATTTACGAACAAATGAAACCTTATTGTAAAGTGTTACAATTTTTATACATATATTTTTTATTTTGGCCACACTTTAGATTAGTGTGCAATTCTCACTAATTACTATGACTTTTGCCTCAATAAACTCCTAATTACTGCTTATTAATAGTTAGGTTAGTAGTTATGTTTCGCTATTGGGTAATTACTATGTGCTTGAGACAACACCTTTTTTTGCAGATTTGTGCTGTTGTGTGGGATTCAGTTCAGGGGTTGAATAATTTTGAGACTACAGAAGTCATTAAAAGTTTGGGGAAACCACTTGAAACAATTGTTGTTGAGCTATTTCAATTACTTTTTTTAAAATTTGTTTGTTGCAAACAGCTGAAAGTCTGTAAATTTTGCAAATAAACCTGATTGCAATGAGGGTTGAATAATTTCTATTCCAACTGTATACAACATAGAGCCTTCATTAGCGGCCATTGAAAAAACACTAATGAAAACACATTATTGAGGATTCTATGTATATATATCTATGGTTTCTACAAGCGATACAGCGGATATTATTACCTCGTTGATAGCCGACAATGACGAGACGAGCCATTATAACTGGAATATCTCTAGATTTACAAATCCTTGGGAACTTTTGGGATAATTTAAGATGAAATATATCACACTGTGAAAGTGAAAGAATATTTTATTACAAAAATCCTACATATTGTACCTTTAAAGTCGATTAGTCTGTTCAACCCCTATTGCATACAACGTTTAACAAGCAGAACAGTCTGCAGTTTGCTAGAGCACATAGTTATACACTTTCAGAGACAGAATTCAGAACAAACAAGTGCCTTTTGTTGGTCAGGTGACTTACAATATTTATAATTTTTAGCAGTTTTATGCAATTTCACAGGTTGTGCATTTATTGTGCATTTACACCACTGCTTGTGAAGGGTATGGGGAGCTTTTTAATATACAGCCAAAATCAGCTGGAAATCCACTTACAGGTTAGCTATAATAACCCTGGTGTGTTTCACAGGACGTGAAGGAGCTGAATCTCACTGATAACTCTGCTTGGGAGGGCGAGAGGAGGAACATTAAAGGGGACTGCTATGAAGACATGAACCTCGCCATGTTCATCTGTCCTGTGGTGGGACTAGAAATGAACGGGAAACACAAGTAAGGCCACATCCGTTCAGCTCAGCGTTAACGTCGAGCCCTGATGTATACTATGCATGATCATCGCCTGTTTTTTTTTTTTAAACAATTGGCCAATGGCCGATACTGAAAATACTTGCTTTTAACAGGTGATACCAATTATTAAATTGTATTAAATACATCGGTGCATTCCTATTAAATGTTATTGCAAATAGAATACACACTAAAACTTTACAATGTTTTAACATTAGTTAATGCATTAGGGATCATGAAATAATACAGAACAATTTTTACAGCATTTATTAATCTTAAATAATATTAGTTTATAAGTGTCCATTGTTAATTCATGTTCATTCATAATGCATTCACCAGTGTTAATTTACACGGTTAAAAATGTATTGGTATATGTTATGTGGATGTGTTAATGGTTATTAAATAAATGCAGTACTAGACTGTTTATTGTTAGATCAGTTAGATGGATACCTTAAGTATCTAAATACATTAAATTTGTTAAAACAGTGTTACTATAAAACATTGTCCTTTTTCTACAAATTAAGGATAAAAAGTAGGAACATTGATCGTGTCGTACCCAAATGTTTGAATGCTGAATAGAGAATGACTGAGAGATACATTTCCATTAACTTTAACTTAACGACTCATTAGTATCTCACATTAAGCTATTGAATTTCTTCAGAAACCTTGGAATATAGTGCACAAAAACCTTATGGTGCTTAACTATAACACAGAATAGGGCGGATTATATCGTTGTCGGATGTCACTGAGAAGCGGGGATGATTTTTAGTGTGCCGGCACGCTACCACAGAATGAATGTAATGGAAATACTGTAAAATGTGACTAAACTAGAACACTTTTTGTGTGAAAATGTGTGCCGTTTTCCTGTTTCCATGAGATGGCTCTTGTGGTTTCATCGCAGTGTGTTTCTTTCTTTCTTTGAGGTTTTTCTATCTGCAGACCTGTGGGTGTGTTTTCTCAGAGCGAGCTGTCAAAGAAGTCAAGACGGAGATTTGCCACAAGGTGAGTGAAAAGAAATGCTTTCACTTTCTTTAGTGTCTCGTGGTCTCTCGTCACTTTCGTCTGACAAATGCAGAAAAGTAAGTTCATGCTTTCATGGGCTCAAGGCTAGATTATTGTAATGCTCTTATGGGTGGTTGGCCTGCACGCTTAATAAACAAACTCCAGCCGGTCTAAAACGCAGCAGTTTGAGTTCTTACCAGAGCTGCATTGGCTGCCTATTAAACATCGCAAACACTTTAAAATCTCGCTAAGTACTTACAAAGCACTAAAGGGTTTAGCTCCCCAGTACTTGAGCGAACTCTTAACACACTATAGTCCTTCACGTCTATTGTGATCTCAAAATTCTGGCCAGTTGTTAATACCTAGAATGTCAAAATCAACTTTAGGTGGTTGTTCTTTTTCCTATTTAGCACCAAAACTCTGGAATAATCTTCCTAAAGTTATGGTCATACTTTAGGTCCAATTAGCACTATTAACCATGAGTTTTGCCTCAAACTCATAATTACTGCTGATTAATTGTTTGTAAGGTAGTTGTTAAGTTTAGGTATTTAGTCGGATTAAGGGATGCAGAATAAGGAATTAATATATGAAGAGTTCAGATGCAAAAGCCTCTAAGTGCCATTTGAAATTTTCTTCTAGAATGATCATTTTTATCAAGCTTGTATATTTAAGTTCAGTGATTTGACTTAAATGGCAATGATAATTACCTATTAATTGTTATTTAAGTGAAATTACTGAACTTAAATATACAAGTTTGACAAAAATCATCATTAAAGAAGAAAATTTCAAATGGCATTTAGAGGCTTTTGCATCTGAACTCTTCATATGCTTTATAAGTACTAATAAACAGCCAGTAATATGCATTGTAATAAGTATAGTTAATAGTGAGAGTTGGACCCTAAACTTTTTTTTATTTTTTTTTTATTTAATATGGACATAACAATAACATTGGACGAACCAGATGCATTGTTTAAAGTGTAATAGCTCATGTGCTAATTTTCAACACCTCTCCGTAGGGGCTTTTAGTACAGATAAAAACACATTATTAAACTAAACTAATTGATTTATATAATTCACTTGCCAGCATGGATAAGTTAAAGCTGCCATGGATGTTTGCAGCACAAATCTGACTTTTTTGTTTTATTTAATCTATGGTTTGTTTGAATTGATCTCGAATTTTGAAGTAGAATAAAGTTGTGCTCGGATATTACATTTATTTGAATGAATTCAAATGAATTAACAAGAGAGAAAGATATACATTAATAGTGAAGATGTGAGTTTAATTACAAAAACAGTAAAGTTATCATCATGTTGCTGAGAAAGATAATGTAGCTTTTAGTAGCAGTCAAGCTGTTTTGTTTTCAGAAATCATGGGGTAGGGGTTGAAAACCTGAGTGTTCATTTCATATCATTTATGGAAATTGTGCTTAGTTTTTGTTAAATGTCAATCATATGCGATCTGAAATGTGTTGCCTTTCAGTTTTTCAGAACGATTTTTCTCAAACATGTCAAAGTGTCTGTAGAGTTTTCCATAGCATAGAGGCATTGGCTATTTGTTTACTCTTAAATGCAGCCTTTGTGAAAATAAGATTTTACAATACAATACAATTTTATTTGTATAGCACATTTAAAACAACTGACATTGACCAAAGTGCTTAACAAGGCAGAGAAACAAAACAAATAACAATATGAAGAGTTCAGATGCAAAAGCCTCTAAATGCCATTTGAAATTTTCTTCTTTAATGATGATTTTTATCAAACTTGTATATTTAAGTTCAGTAATTTCACTTAAATAACAATTAATAGGTAATTATCATTGCCATTTAAGTGAAATCACTGAACTTAAATATACAAGTTTGATAAAAATCATCATTAAAGAAAATTTCAAATGGCATTTAGAGGCTTTTGCATCTGAACTCTTCATATACACATAAAACACACATATCAAGATATATTAAAATATTTATTATTATTCATTATTATTATTATCAATATTGAAAAAACAGCCGCTCCACTTAATTTTAACCGTGTAAACAGTTTTTTTTTTCAGGATTTGTTGTTAAATAGACCTAAACCCCAATTTTTGTGTGTGCATTATGCTTAATTTTATTCCTAATTTGAAATGTACGTAAATAGAACGTTTAATTTACACTGAAAAAAATGTGGAGTAGGATTTACTTGAAAAAAGCTAGGCAACTTTTTCCACTCAGAAAATGCTAGTAAATTTACAAAGATTTGCCAAGTAAAAGCCTAAACATATTTATCAGTAGCTTTAATTAGAAATCTTAAGTTAAAATTTACTTGGAATATGGAATTAAGTTAACTTTGCTTTAGTTAAGTGAAAGTAACAAAGAATATAAGTAACTTGGCTAGTAAAAGGTTGATTAATATCGATTTAGTTGTAATTTCCTTTGCATTACGTTTCACTCAAACAATTTTATTGAATTATACCAGTCATTTATAGTATGTGTTTTACTTAGCCTATCTTAGTAATTTATACTTCATCATGTCCGATGTTAAACATGATCTGAATGCAAAGACCTACTTGGTAGACAATACACAATGATGGATCGTTTTTGTGTTTGAATGCGTCATTTTGAGCAGAAAATTTCCTCAAAATGTCACAAAATGGCAAGTTACTAATCCTGACAACAAAAGCAATGATAAAACAGTGTAAATACAGCTGGAAACCAGTGAAAAATGAGCCTCATTAATCATTCAAGGTCCAGTGCATGATGGGAACTCCAGTATCAGAAAATTTGAGTAATTTTTACTTTTTTTTACTGAGCTCATATTTATGCTTTCATTTCTACTCGCTTGAACTAAGTACTGATATGGAATTTACTTAGTTTTTTTTTTTTTTTTAATTCTTGCCTGAACTAACTTTTTCGTGTAAATTACATCAGTATTATTTACCTTACCAAAAAATCATTTTTTCAGTGTAGCAACAAAGAGATTTCTGTATTTCTGCCTGGGCGTGATTTATAGGGACTTTCACTAGGCCTATATTTAAAATATAGCGTGCTGCGCTCAAGTGCTTTATGGCGTAAATATGTTCGTTTTATAACTTTACCACACTCTCTCATCCAGTGCCCCCTGTGGAAATAAATAATGACTAATAATCAAAGGTGAAGATAACCTCTGTAGTTAAGCTGTCAGCAGTTCTGGTTATCTGCTTATGTGTGCAGGTGATTTGTTAGCTCGTACTCTGTGCACTTTCTATATGTTTGCGGTCGGGATTGGAGGGAGTTGGACCGTGGTTAATGAGTACGACTTGTCTTTCGCTCTCAGCGGTGAATCATTAACCTCACAGTCCCCTGCCTCGGCCTAATTGTTTTCAGGCTCAGCTATCTGACGTTTCTCTGTGGCATTTGTCTCAATTAATCCAAGCATTAAGGCGGAAATAGGGGAACTGCATCCTGAAGTCGTGCATCCATCTCTTCTCCAAGCCTGCAGGCTGGAGCGTGCCTGTTGTGCTGTGCTTGGACAAACACATTCAGCAGCATTTGAATATAGAATATAAACCCGTAATGGTTATCCATTTCCAAGCAAATTTTTAACTATTCTTTGTGCTGTTAATCATAGCCTGTGGTTATGTATTGTGTTACACGTGTCTGGCTTTTGAGTAGACATTATTCATTCTGTGTTTAACATCAGGGAAATCACCTGCTTTATACACACCTGGTGAAAATGATCTTAGTGTAAAATATGAATATTTATTAAACTATCAGCTAGGACTGCTTTTGGTAAATATGAACAAAGAAGCCTATGAAAATAGATTCCTGTAAAAGGTTTGACAATACCTTTCACAGTAAAACGATTAAAAAATGGGGGTAAAAGCTCATAATGAAACATGGTTTTCTCTAATACACGTTAGCCACAATTAATGGCACCTTTTATTCAATACTTTTTGCAACCTCATTAATTGCCTCATTAATTATAAAATCTCTCCAAAACATTCAAATTCCCAAGTCTTTGTTGATGTATTTTCCTTTTCAGTTTTCTACGGTTCAGGTCAGGGGATTGGGATAGCCATGGCAGAACTTTATTTTCTGACCAATGTTTTTAAGTAACTTTGAGGTTTGTTTTGCCCACAATTTCACCAGTTTCTACTTGGGCTGGGTAATAAATATCGATTTCTCGATATTAATCGATTCTCATTTTTTACGAACCGATGTCGATTCTTAAATCTCAAGAATCGATTAGTCATCCTGTTTCATTTGAATGAATGGATCATTGTATCGCGGCTGCGCGCATCCAAAAAAATCGCAATAATCTTTGTCCTTTGTTGCTATTGATATGAAACAAAGTCTCAATTTTCAAATTACGTTCATTTTCTTTAGAAATTCAAAAACATAAATAGCATTTTGGCGCTGTGGCTCAAGAGAAGCAGCAGCGCTGATCTCTCTTCCGGCTTAATAATACCAGTCACAGCGCGAAATAAACATGAATGAGCATCTGAAAGTGTGTTAAACACTTTACCATACTATTTTCCTCAGAAAACCCACATAAACTCGTTAGTCATCTTGAAAAAACAACTCTAGAGAGTTATTTATATATATATATATATATATATATGCATTATAATCTTAATGTTCTTCAATATTTAATGCATATTTGAATAAATCTGGCAAGTTTTTTTATGACAGCCACCATTTAAATGTTTATATTTTATATAATCTTCTTATTATATATATATAAAAAAAAAATTGTAATTTAAAGGGCATCTATTATGTGCCTTTTTACAAGATGTAATATCCTGATGTACTAAAAAATTGTAGATATGATGGGGAAATAATTGTGGCCAACGTGTATTAGAGGAAAACAAACAATACGGATTTATTTTCACAGCCTTCTTTGATCATATTTATTCGGGGTGGTGACAAGACACATGCCTTTGGTGTGAGCGACCCGGGTTCACTTCAAAGCCACAGTGAGTGTCCCTCTGTTTGACTAAATGTCTGACAGTGGCCGACCGTGATGTAAATTCTCTGTCAGCA